GGTAACACTTTTGTGTCAGATTGGGAGACCCATAATTAAGACGTTGCGATTATCATGCCCTCATAATATAACGGCGATTTTGTCAGTAGTCTTCAGAAAACATTGTATACGCTAAGCATTGCATGCATGTTAAAGCGATACGATTTCCAGTGCACACATCTAGTGTACATACACATTCGACTCGTAGTACTAAACGAATTCAGGAAATCATGATTTTCGAGAAAAAAGGTGTAGCTTTGAGATTCATATCTCTACCCAAAAAAGTCCAAACGGAAACCCACTTTCCTAAACAACTTTTTTATACTGGTAACACATATTTGACGAATAAACATTGCTGACTGACCACTACTGAAAGACAGGTTACTGTGTTGCAGTACGTACTAGCTAGTACTCTATGTACTGGAAAAGATGTATGAAGGTACTTTCAGTTATCGACTGATGTACAAATGAATAATGATAGTGCAGGTTATCGAGCACGTTGTTATAACAAGTATCACGTGCTCCTTTAAATCCGGAACGTGAGCGTTTGCGAGATGTGCCAATAATCATGTGAGAAGGCTATTTACAATCGACCATATCAATCCGCACATCGGCTCTGCTCATGGTTATGAAAAACGTACTTTCAAGTTTTTCAAAATCGCCTATCATCCATTTTCCGTCCATATAAAAGCCAGCTGCATGCACTGCTTCAGAGCGTCGTTCAGTCGTTCCTGCTTCTACTTGCTCTCCGCTCAGTCCATCTTGGTGGAAAACCATGAAACTTTACCAGATGCTTTTCTCACTGTTCCTTGCCTCGCTGTTCATCGGAACATTTCAAGGTAAAGGTTGACGTTGAAGCGTCAATGCCAGATTAGATTTTTTGTAGAATTCAATCCTATATGTTTCAAATGCCGTGTTTGCAGTTGAGGAGGATACCTCAAAATAATAAACGGTCTTGACCCTTCAATCATTCGTTTGAATAACCGTGTAACTTGTTTTTTCATATGGCAGATGAATGCGGAGAAAATGAAGTGTACAAAACCTGTGGACCCGTCTGTCGAGAAACGTGTTTGGACGTGAAAATGAAGGCGCCTGCTGGTCAATCCCGACGCTGCTTTTCTCTGCGCTGTGATGCCGGTTGTTTCTGCAAAGACGGATATGTGCTGGACAGTCTCGGAGAGAATGGCAAATGCATTAAAGCAGAAGACTGTCCTTGAAGCCTGTAAAATGTGTCAGTTTGATATCTGTATTCATTTACATAAAATTTAATATCCAGAAATGTACGTACAAATCAACAACCACTTTTTCTAACAGTAAACTACAAACAAAGCAAGGAGTATCTTTCAAACAGAGGCTCTGAAAGAAGATTAACTGAAAGTCGGTCGGTTCGTTCCACTTCCCCTTGACTAAAGGTCTAGCCGATGTTATTCAGTCTAGCGTTTACGAGCTGTCAAAACGTCAGGGGTTATCAGATGATGCAAAATTGACTTGCTTATCTTTCTTCATATTAATGATTCTGACAGAAACGCTAAACTATGGATCATCCGACCATAGATTCGTTATGAAGTTATTTCGGTTATTATTATTTCGGTGAAATTCTCGGTGTGAGTTTCGAACAGTGACGTCAACAGAGATTATGGGAAATGAATCAATTGGTGAAACTGATTGAAAGCGTACTCGTCATAAAGACAATTGATTCATCGACTAATCCATTTTTCACCATGTTCAGAAGTAAGCCAGCAAGAACAACCATGCTTGGTGTTTCCATGTGTTAGCCCTCGTTCTCCATAAGCTGAGGCGTACAGCACAGTTACTGTCATATGAGTGATTAGCGATGAGCTTTCGAAATTCTCAAGAAAACCGGTTGAAACGAAAACACAAAGGAACAACGACCGATGAAAGGCATAGCGGCATATCATAACAGCGTATCACCGACGTCGATAGACCGTTCTCACCAATGACGGCGGATATAAAGCGTCAACTGGAGGGATGAGTCTTGCCTGCCGGCGAATGTTTGTCTTAATGGCGACAATTCCCTCTGAATCGTAAACGCCGTAAGCTCGTTAATGAGTTTTGTTTACAGCTGATTTACCAGGAAACGGAAATTTGAAACGTTTTGATATGATTTTTTCCTCCTGACGGAAAACAACTGGCAGAAGTCAATATGTTCAATTAGCCATTTCTTTCGCGTCTTGGCCATCATTTGTGAGCATTTCAGTCTTTTCACAATGATTTCCGCTCCTCAACACATCAGCGAGCTCAAATACAGCCATTAATTGCTTTTAATCCAGGAAATTGTCTCTAAATATCCATAAAAAGCTCCAATTTATGTAATTAGGTCTTTGAACCAGGTGATACTTTTGAGAGGAGGTATTCTTATATTACTGTCGCTGGTACTGCTACTGTAACCTGGTAGACTCAATCCCTCCTTGCCACGCTCGTCGCCATACTATGGGCACCATACCGCATTGGTCGCTTCTGATTCCTGGATTTAGAATACAACTGTTTCATCACTGTTCAAACACGACCTTACTTTTTGGTTTATGACCAAAATATTTTTGATATCAAGTTCAATAAGAATGCGACAAATTACACTCAGTCAATTATCTGCTTGCGGAGGCAGACGCGTGGGATACTGTACACTACATTTGTTCCATGTAAGTCTTCGATCCGTCCTTTGAGCAAATAGTAACTGTGTCGTCCTTGCCTCGGGAGGCATTCGCAAGACCTAACAAAACCAGTAGCTGTACACCAATGCGCTCATGGATATCTGAACATCAAACCACGTCGAGACGCTTGAGTGCAGAGACTTGTCTCAGAAGACCCATTTCAGCAGCTTGTACCCGGGTTCAGAGTTTTTCAGTGATGGTCCATGACTCATGACCGTAGGGGATGACGACTGACTTTATCATCAAGAGCCTGGTCCTCGGACTTAGCTCTGCTTTAGTCACAACGGATCCGGCTATTCACAAAGAAAGCCAGTAAGTACTCCAATTCGGCGGTCGATCTCTTCCTCAAATTTTCCATCACTAGTAGATACGATCTCGATGTAAACACATGCTAGCTACGCCTCACTCGGCTTCAGATCTTTCCAGCGAAAGCTGGAGACTAGATCCACCAGACGGTAACAAAGCAACTTCGTCTGCACACAGCAAACGTTTCGTCTTTGCATAACTTATGCGGGTAACGCAACTTATAGCCCTAACGATCCACGCACAGCACAAGGAGGAGAGTGGGCAACGCAGTTTGAAAGTTTTCGACCTCACGACATTCACCGTGACGCAGCACCTGCTATCAACATCTAACGTCTGATAATCAATTCCTCTTGTCTTCATTTATATAGCTCGAAAGCCAGCAAGGCGCATGTTCTACTGAGGACTTAAACCCACGGTATAACAACTAAGCTAGTGATGCGAGTAAACAATGAGAGATAGGGCATTCTAACGAAACTGTGATTAACAGATATTCCTGAAAAATAGCTTTTGACGAGCGATGAGGCACCGTCATCAATTGGCACATTCCGCGCTTTCAGTACGAGCTCGAAAATCTGTTGGCATAATCTTCACTGGTCAAAGATTATTAACCGGTTAAGAGTGTATTAACAGTCTTAAAATCAGGATTTAAACATTGGGGTCGACTGATTCAAGCGTCAGATGTTCTTCTGCCAAGAAAGCGTCATCCATTTTATTAATTATGGCTCTCTCTTTGCCATGACGAATAACACATCGACGTTTAAAAAGGTGCTCTTAACTCATAAACACTCGTTCGAGACGTCATGCACCTGAAATCGCCGCACTAAGCCAGAAAGTTCAGCGACGCCGTGTGTGTACATGAAAGCAAGTACAGGGAAAACATACCGCTCAAAAGCAATCATTGGCTTTACAACGAATCACGTGCTTCAAGTTGCACATTGCTTTCGTTCAAACGGAGGAAAAAGAGATTGATTGGCGCGTTTTGAGACTGCTATTCTTACCTGAAGCCAAGATCGCTGTATAAAAAGCGACCAATACTTCCATACGGCCATCTAAACGGTGACATCCGTGACCATACATCCATACGGCCATCTAAACGGTGAAGGTCGGCGAGGGCAAGTTTAACTGGCTCCGGGACGATGAATGACAACGGTCAGCGACTATCAGAATTTTGTCGGTAGTACGCTGATTACCCCCCCCCCACCGTTAGACCTCTCACAAGCCAGCTGAGCTATGTGTTGAGCGGCGAGGAATGGTTCCCGGACAAGGGGCAAAGTCGACATAGGCGCAAACGCTGGATTCTACACCATCAAGTTAAAAGATCCGAAAATTGCCGGCATTCCAGAACGATACAAGCGGCAGATTTATTGATGTCGAGAGCAGGTCTTGTTAGGACAAAGACTAACTCTCGAAAAACCTTAAACAGGGGATTCTGTGCCACAGCAAACACACTTAGCCCTAAGCAAAAAGACGAAGCATTCATTGGTCTCGACAGAAGCCCTCAATCTTGGGAGGGATACCTGAAGAGGCGAGGAAGCGAAAGTGTGGGCATCTCATGAAAGCAGTCAGCAGGGGTTAACGCTGCATCAAGTGACAGTGGACGGGCTCGAAGCACATAACTTGGAACAGACAGCTTTACAGAAGACAGAAGAGAAATCGACATCATCACCATTGGCGGCAAACATAAAGCCTTAACTTGCCAGATTCACAGCTAGTCCGATGATCCCCTTCCAGATTCAAATGAACTGAACACCTTGAAGACAGCTTTACAGAAGACAGAAGAGAAATCAACATCATCACCATTGGCGGCAAACATAAAGCCTTAACTTGCCAGATTCACAGCTAATCCGATGATCCCCTTCCAGATTCAAATGGATTGAACACCTTGAAGAACTTCTAAAGGATAACCTAGAAATAAAGTTTGAAGACCGGTACGAACAATAATTTGTCTACTGGAGAATTCACGTTCCATCTAGAAATGAAGTACCACATGCCATATGTCTCTGTCGAAATTCCAAATCCTGCCGGCACTGCAACATTAGTGCGGAAATTTTAAAGTGCCCAGACAAGACCCTAGTGATCTGCATCCATGTGGTTTTTGACAGCATCTGTTGGAAGTAGGAAATCCCTAGGAACTGGAAGCAAGATGTGATCATTTCCATGTTCAAACGTAGTAATCGTTTGATTCAGCTGCGCCAACTTGCGCTGGATCACGATTTTGTCTGTTCTGGGAAAGGTGTTCGCACGAATCCTGCTCAGAAGACTGAAGAGCGCAGTTGCTTGCGCTGATGAGGATCATGACCTTTGCCGCAGATCGTGCTATCTGATCTACAGGTGATGAACAA